CTTTATCTATAATATCACTCACCAGAATATCAGAGTCAGACATGATATCAAATCTTAGATTAAATTGATATCTTGATCTCTTTCTTCCATAGATCACTACTCTTGACTTTATCTCAGACTTTTGAGGTAAAAAGCAGTAGTAGCTTAAATGAGAAATGACATATTTTTACTCAGCATCAAAATTCGGCTCCTGAAGCAGTATAAAATCAACTTTTTATTCAAATACAATTTGAAGACAAGAATAAATACAATTTGAGTTTCTATTTACATTATTTTGAATAAATGTGATTTTTGAAGAGTTTTTAAACTTTTTTTGTTGTTTTTGTTGTATATTCATACTAAAAGAGAGTAGAGTAGAATCTAATCACTATCATCAGATAGTAGATTATAACTGTTCTGAAAAGTAGAAATCTCAACTGCTTGCATTATATCTAGTTTATCATCAGAGTCATTTCTCAATTCTCTAATCTTAACAGAAGTTTGAGGATTCAAATTCTATTTACATTTAGCTGAAGAATTGAAGTTTGAAGACTTAGATAGTTGAGAGTTTCTTCTTTTTGAGCTTGCAGTTATAAGTCTACTGGCTTGACTCTTCTCTTCAGTTCTAGATTGACTTTGAGCTTCATCTTTTCTTCAGTTCTTTTGAGTTCTAGAAGTAAACATACATTCTTTTGAGCTAGATGCATGTTTTTCTTTGCAATTAGAGCACTTAAGCAGAGTATGTTGATAAATTTCACCTCTTTTTGAGCATGTTTCACATTTATGCTCACTAGTTTTATAATCTCTGACACAGAATGCACATTTTGAGTCTCTAAAACATGAGATTGCAAAGTGTCCATATCTTTGATAGTTTGAACACTGTGTTTGAGCTTTGAGATTCATTCTTGAGTCTTTGTATTCATGAACTCTCATTTTCAAACCTGCTACTCTTGCTTCAGAGATCTTTGACTGTTCAAGTGTTTTTGTATATACTAGAACAGAGGCATTTCTTCTGCTTTGTCTGAACTCAATTGAATTTAGTTATACAGGCTTCTTTCTCAGTTGAATAGAGTTGTATTCTTTCAATTCATTTTTGAGAAGTAGCATTTCTTCTTCACAGTCAAAAATTTCAACTGAAATATCATGAAGAATGAATTTGTCTCACTTTTTATCTCTTTCAGATAGAATTGTTGTGTTTAACAAAGATTCTACTGTTGACTTTCAGAGATTCTCATTCTGAATAAGGAATTCAGCACTGAATTCAGGCATTGTAGTCAGAATGATGAAGTTTTTAAAGAATGATAGCTCAATTGAAGCTATAACTGATTTTTGAACTTCAATATCAGTCATCAACTGAGAAAAGAACTGCTGATTAATTTCATTTCTGATTCTGAAAATGAGATTTGAGTTTAGCTTGTTTCTTTACAGAATGTTCTGATTTGAGACTTTGAGAATAAGTCTTCTATTTCTGAAGATTTGAAAGTTTTTCTCTTTTTGTATTTTCTTTTTCACTTTTCTATGAATAGAGGTATGAGCAGTATTCTTCTCAGTTTTCTCAGGATTTTGAGCAGGTTTTGAGACAGCAGGTTTAGAGACAGCAGATTCAGCTGCTTGAGCATATGTTTTCTTCTGATTCAAAGAAGAAGAAGAAGTAGGAAAAAAGAAAGAAGAAGAGTAAGATGAAGAGTCAGTGATTGTACTAGGAATTTTCAAGGTTTTTTGAACTGTGTTTGAGATTTCAAGTTTGAACTTAATCATCTTCTGTAGTTATCTAGCCTGAGCATGAAGAATTAACAGAACTTCTTCATTCATCTCACTCAGACACTGCTTTCCAAGAATCTTGCTTGCTTTTTCAAGTTGCTGTATTTCAAGAACTTGTTGTTTCTCTATTTCTTCTTTCTTTCTTCTCTTCAGAATTTCAATCTCAGAAATAGCATTTGAGAAAGCATCTTTTTCCACATCAACTGAGTGTATTTTTGAACTCATTGTTTTCACTCAATGAAAAGTTGATCAGACTGTTTCAATTGAGATATTTCTAAGTCTGTTTTCAATTGAAAAGTTGGTCAGACTGTTTCAAAAGAAGAATAAAAGACTTTTGTGTATAAAACACCTGATTTTTTTCACACTAGTTCAGTAACTAGGTTAGATTTTTGAAGAGAATCTAATAAACTAAAATTGATTTTTAAGATAAATCAATAAAATCTTTACAATCTCTTTCTTGGGATACAGTGAGGAAAAGTATGATATCAATTAATAATAAATCAGATAATATGACAGTTTTTAAGAGAAAAACTGACAAAAAATAAATCAATTTTTTGCAGAGAAATTGATTAAAACTATTCAATTTTATTCTAAATCATCCAATTCTCCTCACACAACAAGTGTGCAACTCAAATCAGTTAATAAAGAGTGTAAAAAAGAATTAAGTATTAATGAAACCTCTTCAGCCACTGAAAAAGTAATTCTTACTTAAAAGAATATGAAATTATGACAGAAAACAACTCTGTTTTTAATTCTTTGTAAGAATATTGTGTAAAACTCAGAGAAAAACACCTTACTTTTTCAAGAGAAGTAAAAAACTATTTCTAAGATCTTTTTTTTGCATTAACTGCTGTAGAAGAATGAGATAGAAACTGCTAAGATATGCACTACTGTATACTCTCTATCAAGACTTTTCCTCTTCAGAGTCTTGATATTATAGAGAATATAAGTCTGTTTCTATATGATAATATAAATATTGTCAGTGAGATGTAGAGAAACTGGTTATTTATATCTCAAAATAGAAGACTTTGTCAATGATTATATCAATATAGAGTTAATTCTCAAATTCAATAGAAACCTAGTATTGCTGTTCTCAATCTCTTGCAGAATCTATTAAATATTAAGGTATTAAAACTAGATTTAATATATCTCACTGTGCAGGGATCAAAGGCTCAGTCAGACCTTGAGGTATACTGATTTTATAGTTGTTGTGTCTGCCGATTATGTATTGAGTACAGTTGCTGAGGTATCTTTTTGTACTCTTCTGTTGGGGATGGGCCAGATTGAGAGGGGTGGTACGAGGGTGAGACTTGGTGTTGATGTCTAGATACACTGAAGACAGACCGCGGAGGTTGCACTTCAGAAGTGGCTGTTGATTATGTGCTTGATATTATCGCCGAGGTATCTTTTTGTATTTTTCTGCCGGGGATGGGCCAGATTGGGAAGGGCGGTACGAGGGTGGGACTTGGCGTTGGTGTTTTGGAACATCAAAGATGGACAGGGTTTTCGCGGAGGTCGCTCCTCAGATATCTCCACAACTACAGATCAGGGATCTTCCAAAATCGAGAAGATTGGTGCATATGGCTAGGTCTCTTCACCTTACAATTTGTATGGCAATTTGGCCCGGGGTTGTGGTGTGGTAGGGGAGAATGGGGGATAATCCCACGCAGGAGTTCTGAACGACATCTGGTTCACATTTGGCTGGATAACTCCACCACCACACGGGGTATGCGGTCGGCGATGGGGTCAAAATGCTCGTATGATCGAGGGCTTTTCGATGGATCTATCGGCGGGTTCTTATTCGAAAAATCGAGCGAGTTCGTGGTGGAGCGGTTGAATATCTCAGATCTATTTATAAAACTTTATCTTCTTTTTTCTTTTTCTGTAACAGCTTTCATTCTTATTATTATTATTATTATTATTATTATTATTATTATTCTTTCATTATACTCATATGCAAGCGGAGCTTATGATGAGTCCTTGCGTGATGTTAAATACAGGCCAAGTGTTGATTATACAGGAGGAAATACAGGTGTTGAGACCATGCCAAGATAACAAGAACATAGGAAATACAAAGAAGTGACAATTAGATACATGCGATAATAACTTCCCAGCCCAGAAACATAGAGCGATTTATTGAAGCGATTTGTACACCTCTGTATTTATTAGAAACCTGAGGTGCTTGAGTGTTAGGACTTGGTTACATGGATATCGGAGTGACAGCAGCTTCATATGAGGATGTAATATTACTGATTCTTGAAGAAGAGAACTAGATAGTAGAGAAGCAGAGAATGAGTATAAGACACTGCAGCTTCTGTGAGTCACATGATGTGTATGTAAGCATGCTCTAAGCTCTAGACCTTACACTCTGTCTTCTCACCTCTCTCATCCCTCCTTCAGAGTGGCGAGGTTATTATATTATACATGTGATATAGGTAGTAAGGCATACAGACAATTAGATAATTAGAGTATACAGTGATAAAAAAAAAGAAAAGCTTAGAGAGTGAAATCAGCAGAACACACTCTGCTCTGTTCTGAGGTTCTAGCAGAATGCACTCTGCTCTAGAGTTTATGTGAAGTAGCAGGAGCTCTCAGTCCTACTTTTGAAACTTGTAGCAGGATGCACCCTGTTCTACTTCTTAGTGAGATGTGCCCTGCTCTATGAGAAATGAAGAGACTTGTTATAGATCATTCTTCTGATAGCAGTCAACACTGCAATACTGTGTCTGAAAAGAGTCAAGTATGTCAGCATGTGCAGGGTCTGCTTGTGAGACATCTGATACTGAGTTTGTTACTGACAGTTGTTGAGGCCTCATTGAGTAGTGGGTGTAGAAGGCATCAAGGTGTGGCTGAGTATTAGAGAGATAGTCATAGTCTACTCATTTATCAAATTGAGGGCTGTGACCCACTCAACATACTAGGTATTTGATTCAGTTCCCCCAGGTGAGCTTGGTGTCGAGTATCTCTTGAATGTTATCATCATTATCCAGGTCGGGATGTAGAGTCTCTGAGAAGGTGTGCTGGTTGTTGAGGGTGGACAAGCAGTGTGGTTCTAGGAGTGAGACATGGAATACATCATGTATATGATAGGAAGGTGGTAGATTGAGTTGATATGTCTGTGTGTCAATGCAGGCGTGCACAGTGAAGGATCCAAGGAACTTGTGATCTAGCTTGCAGTTGAGATGATGTGTTTTTATATTCTTTGCATTCAGAAAAACAAGATCATCTATCTGGAACTCACAGGGCTTGTCACGGGTGTAATGCTGCATGAGATCCTGAGAGTGAAGAAGATGATCATGGGCCTCTCACTGGGCATCTTTGATGAGGACCGCACGGCGTTCCGCAGCAGCGTCATCTGGTTCTGGGAGAGAGAAGTTAGGCATGGTGAGAGGCGTGGGGTGGTATTCTAGATCCATGAAGAATAGGGTGAGGCCATGAGCAGAATGTACTGAATTACTGTAAGCAAATTCAGCTAAGGTGAGGAGATCTACTCAGTCATCCTGTAAGTAGGTGATGTATAGACATAGGTATACTTCCAGTTCACAGTTTTGTCTTTCTGTCTGACCATCAGTCTGTGCATGATAGGCAGTGAAGAGGTGATGATTAGTGTCAAGAAGGTTGACAAGGGAGCGCCAGAATCCTGAGGTGAAAAGATGATCACAGTCTGAGATTAAGACTGCTGACATTTCATGGAGGCAGATGATGTTGTTGATAAATAACTGCATGAATGTCTCTGAGAGAAGGTCTGCTGTGGTGAGAATGTAATGAGAGTGTTTGAATCTTTTGCACATAACCATCAGGACCATGTCAAATGTGGTGCCTGTGGCTGAGCAGGTGGACTTGGATAGGCCTACTACAAAGTCAAGAGTGATTGTATGTCAATTGGTGTCTGGGATGAGGATGGGTGTGAGCTCTTCATATGCTTGGTGGGTGATAGGCTTGAATCGCCTGCATGCTTCACAGCCACATACATAGTCATTCACATCGCGCCGCATGATAGGCCACCAGAATCAATGGTTTATCAATGCATAGGTTCAGTGAGATCCGAAGTGTCCTGCAGTGAGAGAGTCATGAAAGTTCTGCAGAATGAGAACTCAAGTGAGTGTGTGATCTGGGACAAAGATTCTGTCTTTGTAAAAGAGTAGGCCATTCTCTATGACTCAGTTTTCCAGGTTATTATGGTCTGTCAGAGGTATGAGTGATTCAAGATTTTCAGGGAGGTTATCACAGATCACCTGCAGCAGCGGCTCTGTGATGTGGTCTTCAGTGTGTGATTGTGTCTGAGTGTGAGTAGAAATAACTGAGATCAGCTCTACTGTTTGTGCTACTGCAAGGATGCTGAGACAGGCATTGCAGAGATAATCACAGAATTCATTAAGAAATTTATGAAATGTGTTGATGAGTTCTGTAAGATCATCTGAGTGTGGTCAGTAGTCTGAGCACTGACTGAGTACATCTGCTGAGTTGCTGTGACCTTCCTTATACTTTATGCTGACATTAAGCTCACTTAGGTGTTGAGCTCATCTTGCTTGGCAGCGGCTCAGGACCTTGATTGTAAGAAAGAGTAGAAGATTGTTATGATCACTGTATATGACTGTATTATGATGATTGCTTCTGATGAAATGACTTCAATGCTTAGTTAACTCTATTATTACTAACATTTCTTGATCATAGATTTCATAGTTACACTCAGCATCTATCATTTTTCAGCTATAGAATACAACTGAGTGTAAGTAATCATCAGAATCTTTCTGTATGAGAATTTCACTTATGACATATTCACTGACATCACAGAAAATGACTATGTCAAGCTCATCTGAGTAGAATATAAGCAGAGAGACTTTGATGAAGATCTCTTTCAGTAAGAGAAAGCTAAAGTTCTCAGACTCTGTTCATTGAAAGATTTTGTTAGTCTTGAGAAGACTAGTCATTGACAGAGCTATCTTGCTGTAGTGATATATGAAGTAACAATAGAAGTTGCAAAAGCTCAGAAATTCATAAATATCTCTGATTGACTTGGGGGTGGATCATGCTACTATTGTCTCAATGTGTTTGAAATCCATGCGAGTGCTGCAACATTCAATTATATAGCCTACAAAGTCTATTTCTTCTTGAAGAAAATGACATTTGAAGAGATTGTATATTAGACATGCTTCTCTGAATTTTTACAGTATCTGTTTAACATGTTGTCAATGAGTATCTGAGTTATGATCTTTAGTGTATATCACAACATCATCTATGTAAACTACTGCAAAATTATTGATGTATGAGAGCAGTGCTGTCTGAATGTATTGCTGGAAGTGACTGAGTGAATTGCAGAGATCAAAGAGTACTACTAGGTATTCATAGTTGCTATACTATGTCTTAAAGACTGTAAGATATTCATACCCCTCTGCAATTTGCAGGAGATGAAATGCATGAACTAGGTCTAGTTTTATAACTCAGTATATTTCAGTGAAGCATTCAAGAAGCTCTGATATAAGAGGTATTATATATTGATTTTTAACTGTGATAGTATTTAAATTTCAGTAATTCATATAAAATTGTTTGATTTTATCTTTCTTCTGTGTAAAGAGCACTGAGAAGGCATATACTGACTTACTTAAGTATATAAACCTACACTCAAGGTTTTCTTCAATATATTTTTTTAGAAGTTGTAGTTCTGATTAACTCATATTGTAGAGTGAGCTCTTCTTTAGAGACTTATCATCTATGAGAGTAATCTTCATGTCTGCCTCTGAGTATGAGACTAGAGTGTTAACTGTGAGTAAGTAAAAGACATTCTTGAAGTCATCTAGCTCTGAAGATAGATGTGTGATAGAGATGTTCTGACTGATTTGTAATCATACAATGACAGAAATAGTGTTATCAGTGAGAGTGAGATTCTTTGACTTTCATAAGAGATGATCACTGTCAAGGTGTTTCATGTGAAATCTGTTAAAGAGATAATCAGAATCTCAGTGTATGTCTGAATTAGTATGTTGCAGCCAGAGCATTCTCAGTATCAGAGATCATGACATTGATATTGAGATTAAGTAGTGTTTCATTGATTGATCATCAGAGTTTGATAAGATTATCTTGTAGACATAGAGATGAGTTGAATATTTTCAGCCTTGAAGAGCTTTCAAGAGAATACATAATATGAGAACTTTTGTGACATTCAGAGCTTCAGCAACTGCAGAGATGATGATGTTGAACTCTGCTCCTGAGTCTATCATAGCTGAAAGAGTGAATATGTCAGTGTCTTGAAGAAGCTGAGTAATGTTGTTCAGAGCGGGCGTGGTTTGTGATATAGAGATGTCATATTGTATGACCTGTACAGAGAGAGCATAACCATCAATGAACTGTGCAAATGAGTCAATTGGGAGTATTTGTTTGCACATGGCCGCCCCTAGCAACATGCTGATTTGTTTTTTAGTTTTGAGAAGACTGAGCAGGCGTGGGGTGAGACAGTGTATGAGAGTATTTTTTCATCATCAGAGGCTGTATTGAGCAGTGAGGTGCTCTGGCATACAGGTGTCGTGGCTACCGACGCCATGCAGGTGCGGCAGTCATTAGCTCAGTGTCTCATATAGCCGCATCAGGTGCAGGAGCCTTCACACTGGTGCTTCCAGTATTCAGTGTCTGTGATGTCTGAGTTCTTATTAGTGCTGCAGGAGGACCTGTCAGAGGAGTGTGAACATGCTCAGCCAGCTGCGCTGTCGCAGTTGCGCATGTCTCATGTGTCATGCATTAAATCAAATCTGACTTATTTGTTATTGTAGTTATTGTTGAGAATCATTTGTTTGAACATGATAATGTGACTTTCAGCTGTGATGACAGCTTTTTTCCAATCAGTGAAAGTGACAGGCCAGGCATTAAAATAAGCTTGATTAATCTGTCATAGAATTGATGTGATCAACTTGGTGTGAAACATGAAGCAGATGACTGAGTCATTTCAGTGAAGATCTGCTGTCAATGTCTCAAAGTCAGCAATGAAATCAATTGCACATTGATTATACTGCATTTGTAGAGAATTCATGCATAATTCTGCAGTGAGAGCTGCATTGATTTTGTGGTAATTATCACACAGCCAGACTTTGAGAATTTCCCAGGTGATGACATGCATGTCATTGTCAATTTGCATGTGTTGAACATGTTGACAGATTTTGAGAGCTAAGTAGCTGATCATGAAGGCTATTTTAGAGATGTCTGCAGCAATGAGGCATTCTCTGATATTGTCATCCATGTCAAGTAGCTAAAAGCATATGTCTGTAGATCCGTCAAACACGTCAGGTTCTTACAATTTGACCTTGATTGAATGGGGTTGAGGGTTTAGTAGAGAGGATCCGCTAGCAGGGCATTCATTCAGAGCATCTAGTCATTGAGTAAGACAGGTGTTTTCTTCCGCCATCGCGCGGTTTTACTCAGCCAGTTGGTTGACTTGATTGATGAGGCTTTGCATTTCATGAGTGAGTGTCATGATGATTGTTAAGAGTGAAAATTTTCGTGATTTTGTAGCTGCAAGGCTGTGGCTGATATTGTAGAGAAGAAGAATCAGTATGTTAGAACTTGATTACATGAATATCAGAGTGGCAGCAGCTTCATATGAGAATGTAATATTACTGATTCTTGAAGAAGAGAACTAGATAGTAGAGAAGCAGAGAATGAGTATAAGACACTGCAGCTTCTGTGGGTCACATGATGTGTATGTAAGCATGCCCTAAGCCCTAGGCCTTACATTGAGTTCCGGATTTAATGTATTCCCTGCGGGTTTCGAACCCACGCGCCTTGGTTTCCCACGCCAAGGCGCTATCAGGTGGCCGCATTAACCATTCGGTCACTGAGGCCTTTCATTCTTATAAACTATGAGTATTCTTATTTATCTGTGAAGTGTTTTTATTCAGATAATAGAGAGAGAGTATTTCTGATAATATCTGTATATTAATTCAAGAACTTCTCAAGAAGAAAAAAATTTTTCAATTTTAATATCTTTATAAATAATATCTGATCACTGCTGAGCTTCTTATGAATATCTCTGTAACTTCTCTAATCACTTTTTACTAACTGATAAAGCAGAGATATCATTATTCATAACAGTGTCTTTATTCTTTTCAGCTCTGTCACTGCATCTGATCTTCAGATCAGCAGCTAATCTCTTATCTCTCTCAGATCAGTCTCTGACTTTAAGCAGTGCAGTCTCACTCTTTGCTGTAAGTCTCTCTATAAGTAATTTCTTACAGATTCTAACTGATAATTCTTATAAAGCTTCTGATGTTATCAGTGTCTTCTACAGTTCTATAAGTCTATAATTATCTTCTCTCTATCTGCACAATCTCTAATCAGATATATACAAATATATCTAAATTCTCTATCAATGATTCTCACATCACAGCACATTTCTGTAATTTCATAGTTAATGAGAGATGAG